CAAGATAATTAGTGTGCGACCATTTTCTTTTATATAGTGCTCTGTGAACACAAATTAGTTAGCATAAATCAGTCAAATGACGAAAACGTAGGTGTCTATTTACTCGTGACCACTCAGTGTATATATATATATATATATGCAACTACTGACGTTTTCTTTCCTTCAAGATCTCCATGTGCTTGTTAAAATAGTATTAAAGAACTAAGTAAATTTCTTACACGGAAAATTGTTAAGGAATGTTTTTTTAATATATCAAATTTAACCTAAAATAATTTTAGTTGAGGAATCTTTATATTGCAATGTTTGTTTTTATACCCATCTTTATCATTTTAAGACGACGTTAAAAGTTATCCATTTATATCTATAACTTACATTATAACCACTTTCCCGGTTTTGAAGGTTAAAATATAAAACTGAAAACTGAATTAGCATCAGAAAATAAAACTGAAACCATGACTAAGTGCTGTGATTTTAAGCTGTATTAAGTAATGGAGTTTTAATTATGCGAAGTTTGTCTTGTGTAATTTAAGAACGTAATCTATATATCGCTTCCTAGCTGGAGAGTCTGAAGCTGTTCATATTCCAACAAACTTCGAGAAGCTTATGCATTCTTGATATTTTGATTTTCTTATCATTATTTTAGCTGGGCTAATGGAAACTAATATCCCTTTTAAGACTACAGACGTTACGGACCTCAGCTAGTAGACCAGTTTGTAAATTTTTATTTGATTATCTAGAAAAGCTCTCGTGCAAAAATTACTGTGCTAATCTATATTACTATAAATTACAAATATTTCCAGTAATCTATAAAAGGAAATATTCAACAAAACTGTAGACGAAATAGGAACATCTTTGAATATGGGCCGAACGTGGCCCAATGGTTAACATGCAAGACTATAAACATGTTGCTAAATCGTTCGCTTCACGTTAATGGAAGATATATATATGTATAATAATAATAATAAAAAAATTAATTTCGCACTAAGCACGCTTGTGTTATAGTTACTTTATATGGGTGACGGTCAAATTCGGTCAGACAAGAGCAGCCCAAGAGTTCGTGGTGGGTGCTGTTAACTAGTTGCCCTCCCACTAGTGTACTGATTCAAATATAGGGACAGCTATTACGGATAATTACTGAGTAGTTTTGCTAAATATCCGGAACTAAACAAGTTTTGTATATAAAAATAAGTTTATACAATGAAATATGTTTGGGCAGTCTCTGGATTTCCATGTTAATCAGTACACAGTCATACCTACAGTTCTGTTTCCATTTTCTACCCCACTTGTCGATGCCAAGTAGAAGTTTTAAATCCATTGAAAGTAAAACGAAAACTTAGCTTAGCTCTACAACATGACATTTTTGTAGTCAAGCCAAATGGGAATGTGGCTGTATCTATAAAACTATCTGTAACATTAGTACAAGGAGACTCACACGAACTCTTGGAAATAATTCGTGATTAAATGATTACTTTTTTGAGGTTAGAATCAATTCCAGGAAAATAATATAAGATAAAAAGAAAACGTAAATTAGTGTATCATCAAGAAATAAAAGAAGTGAAACAAATTAAAATTGTTTTCTTTTTTAAATCAAGCAAAAACTTTAACTTGAAGATAACAAAGGTAAGATTTTAAAGAACTACGAAGTTTTTAGTTTTACGTTTAAGCGCAAAGTTACGCAATTGGCTATCTGCAGTGCCCACCACGAGTATCAAACCCCAAATCTCGGCGTTATAAGCCCTCATGCTTACCGCTGAGCCACCGGGAAGGGCTCGTAATTAAGAAAACTTTCCTTAATTTAATTAAATAAAATGGATAGGGAGTGATCTAGTGGTTAACTTGTCAGGCTGCAGAACGGAGGATCCAAGGTTCGAGATAAGATAATGCTCTACACACTTCGTACTTTCAGCTGTGGGTGAGACATAAAAGTGACAATCTTTTTATTCCCCCAAAATAGAGCCAAGTAAAACTCTTGTGGCGATGGGTGCTGTTCGCTGGTTGCTTTCCCTCTGTTCAGTGTTTGAAAGTTAAAGACAGTTATACTTGAATCCTAACCTGGTGCTTAGCCTGAGCACACGTGAGGTGCCGCTCAGATTGAAAATTCCAATTTCAAAAAAAAAGAAAGAAAAATTATAATAATGTTTTAAGTATTGTTGTGTTTTAGAACAGAATTGCTTTAAATTAAGAAAAATTTAATCACTTCAATTAAAATGATTTCTAGAAAAAAAAGGTTGTTCTAAGACTATTTCGCTTACTTTTTCTAGCATTATGTTACAAGTCAGACCGGTTTACAGGCATATGATCATTATATTTGATAAATGTTGACTTGTATCTTAGCACGTGTAAATCCTATTGTTTGGACCCAGAAATGTGTCATTTTGATAACACTTTGTTTTTGAGGGGCTAAATATTTTAATAGAATATGAAAACTGTTCTATCGAATAAGAATAAGTAATATTCAGTTTTTCACACTTACACCATGTATCGAGAACAACAGTTTCTTCGGAATAAGGTTTGTTTGTTTTTTGAATTTCGCGCAAAGCTACACGAGGGCTATCTGCGCTAGCCGTCCCTAATTTAGCAGTGAAACACTAG